CTTCTTAAATGTCCACAGGCATAACAATAGATAACTTATATCAATTGGTTTCACAGCTGGAATTTTCATGGCTAATGAAGGCATTATTCCTGAATCTTCAGTAGAAGTTGATGCGTCAAATCAAAGCTTGCATTAATTGGTATTTTATAATTAGCAAATAATTACTTTCTTTTGGTGATAATTAACAGTAGTAATATTAAGGAGAATAAAAAGAAATAGCAATTCTCAATGCTGCCGTACGCACATATCACAAGATTTAATCCTCACGTTCAGTCCCTCGCTTGTCAAGGGAATCAACCCACACTTGTCTCGACTCAGTCCTACTGAAGCTTCTTATTTCGATGATTTTCAGGTAAATATCGAGTCCAAATCAATTAAACTTTTCTGTATCTTCATATCAAAGTTAATTGTAACTTTTTGTGAACTTCGCTTATATATGCATAGATCTGAAAACGACGTGATTCATGATTCGGTTAAAACTTTCTTTTGCCATAGCTGTGCTTATTTTCTCAAATTCCATTTGTATTTTGTATCCATTCCTTGAGTTTACGTGTGTGTGTGTGTGTGTGTGTGTGTGTGTGTGTGTGTGTGTGTGTGTGTGTGTGTGTGTGTGTGTGTGTGTGCGTGTGTGTGTGTGTGTGTGTGTGTGTGTGTGTGTGTGTGTGTGTGTGTGTGTGTGTGTGTGTGTGTGTGTGTGTGTACGCGCGCGCGCGCTTATAGGCCTATATGTACGTATACACCGAGATACATTCATATATCCCAACTCGCATTAGATCTCCGATTTTTCCTAAAACTAAATTTGCAGTATAATTCATTTTTTTACTGGCGTTTCTTAATCTTTGTTATAATATTTATGCACTGATTGTAGTGAAACTAGCTTGGCATCATTGGAAAATAACCAAAGTTATTGATTTCATAACCTTACGTACGTTTATTATTCACATTCATTTCAGTATGTTAGCTTATTTATAAAAGTTGTTTGTTTAGTTTTATTGCTGCATCTTGCTTCCTTTTTCTGCAAGATTCGCTCGACTCCAAATCCCTTGCTCTGCTTGCAGGTTGCCCCTCCTGTTCCTCCCGCTGGCGGCCGCAGCCCTGGCGCAGCAGGCGCTGCCGGAGGGCCCCCGCCCGTGGCCGCCCAAGCACGGCGACCGACGGCGCCCCGACCAGGCATACGGCCCAGCCCAGGCCTCCTCCGAATCGACCTTCCCCGAGGACGACTCACGCTGCGAGCAGCTCCCGATTTACGAGGTGAAGGACCTCGCGCACACAAGGTCTTGCTCGGGTGACAGGAAGCAGAGTGATGAGAGGAAGGCTTTCGAGCCCGAGGTGGAGGGCGAGGCTCCCTTCCGCAGCCACGAGGTCTTCACTCTGTTCCTGAACGTCAGCTGTACCCCGGGGACGCGCCAACATCCACTCTGCTACAGCTGCGTCTGCTCCAAGGACTGTCCTCCGGCGGGCGAGGCTCAGACAGGCGCCGCGCCCGTCCAGGCCACGTTGGTCTCGTCCGAGGAGCCCGGGGTAAGCACTGACAAGAAGGCCACATCCGGTAGGCGCAAAGGCCAGTCTCATCACAAGCGAAGCAGTCGGACGAGCAAGGGCGCCGCCAGGTCGGCAGAGCATGAGTTCTCAGAAAAACAAAAAGGCGAAAGGGCCGCGCGAAACAACCGCCAGCACAAGACGAAGTGACGTGACGCGACCTTCAGTGCATAAATAATTCAGTCAGATTTACAAGAAAGATAGTTGACATAAAGGCTTGAGTGCTTATAGTTTGATAGAAGAAAATATCTTTAGATTTAGTTTCCCCTGTATACAGAGCCCATGGAGGGATTTTATTTTTTGCGACAATATCGGTAAAATGTCAGGAACTTCTTTATTGTAACATCAGCATATGTCATGAATGCAAACCTAACATATTCACGTAGGTTATTCTTGTTATTTGTGTTCTATTCCATTTGTAAGGATGCATTTCTCTTGAGCGTTGTGCTTGCATTTACCTTTAAGTCCCAAATAGTTTACACTTTTAGAGATTCCTAAAGTTTTCATAGTATGTGTAGCTTTATATGTTTTGGTTTATAATAAAATTGTGAATTCTGCCAAAGACTATCACCACATCCTCTACCACAGGAAAGCGATGATAATGGAAGCAATATTAGGTCTTACAAATCATGAATTTACCGGTGGAAATTACATTACTACATTAACTAATAAAACTCATTCATAGGCATAACTTCCATGCGGACCGTGGGTCACAATCAAAATTCATTTCACAACCAATTTAATTTCTAAAAATAATTAAAATGCTAATATAAATGAATGACTAATATAAAAGTCATAGGATATATATATATATATATATATATATATATATATATATATATATATAAACATATATAAATAAATTATATATATACATATGTATAAACAAAATTCATTCATGGGTGTGCCCCCCCCCCCCCCCGCTCGCCGAGGAGCCGTTCGCGGATTCCGTGGACAGCCT